GAAGACAGTGAAGAAGAACACCACACAACAACAAACAACAACAACAAACAATAAACAACAAACAAAAACAAACAACAACAACAAACAATAAACAACAAACAATTAACAAAAACAACAACAACAATAAACAACAAACAAAAACAAACAACAACAACAAACAACAAACAATTAACAAAAACAACAACAACAACAATAAACAACAACAAACAGACAACAACAGAGTCCAATGAAGAAGACGTTTGTTTTCGTCTCTCTTAGCTCTTTCTTCATGTCAGTAAACTTGTTTTTCTAAGCTCCTCCCCCTCACAGCGGCCCACATCAGCAGCTCAGTTTCGTCTTTTTTTTCAGGCCTTTTCACTGTCATGGTCGTCATAGTTACTCCAATCATTGTTGTCCTACAGTGTCCTAAAGTGGAAACAGGACCGATGATGTCTCTTTCCAGTTTCTCTCCATCTGTGATATTTGAGTCTTTAAACGGCAGAAGTCGTGAGTTTATTTTAGTTTTATTTTATTTTACTGTTTTATTCTAACGTCCTGAAGACGGACACCGTGATCAAACTGGTTCCTGGATATGTTCTGGTTTGGAGATAGACCCGAGGTTCTGATGAAAACCTGAACACCTTCCTCCTGTGAACTCGGAGCCCGTCTGTCCTCAAAATGATCATCATCAAAACCATCAGCTGTTCGCTTTTACACGGCTGAGGGTTCAGATCCTAAACTAAACTGAACGAGACTAAACTAGACTAAACTAGACTAGACTAAACTGAACTAAACTAGACTAGACTAAACTGAACTAAACTAGACTAGACTAAACTGAACTAAACTAGACTAGACTAGACTGAACGAGACTAGACTAGACTAGACTAAACTGAACGAGACTAGACTAAACTAGACTAGACTAGACTGAACGAGACTAAACTAGACTAGACTAAACTGAACTAAACTAGACTAGACTAAACTGAACTAAACTAGACTAGACTAGACTGAACGAGACTAGACTAGACTAGACTAAACTGAACGAGACTAGACTAAACTAGACTAGACTAGACTGAACTAAACTAGACTAGACTAAACTGAACGAGACTAGACTAAACTAGACTAGACTAGACTGAACTAAACTAGACTGAACTAAACTAGACTAGACTAAACTGAACGAGACTGAACGAGACTAGACTAGACTAGACTGAACTAGACTGAACGAGACTAGACTAAACTAGACTAGACTAGACTGAACTAAACTAGACTGAACCAAACTAGACTAGACTAAACTGAACGAGACTGAACAAGACTAGACTAAACTGAACGAGACTAGACTAAACTAGACTAGACTAGACTGAACTAAACTAGACTAGACTAAACTGAACGAGACTAGACTAAACTAGACTAGACTAGACTGAACTAAACTAGACTGAACTAAACTAGACTAGACTAAACTGAACGAGACTAGACTAGACTAGACTAAACTGAACTAGACTGAACGAGACTAGACTAAACTGAACTAAACTAGACTAGACTAAACTGAACGAGACTAGACTAAATTTTTGGTCAGGTTCTGTCTCTGACCCGGTCTGGTTCTCCCCCCCCAGCTGTTGGAGCTGTTCAACAGTGAGGACCCGAGGGAACGGGACTTCCTGAAGACCATCCTCCACCGTATTTATGGAAAGTTCCTGGGACTGAGAGCGTTCATCAGGAAACAGATCAACAACATCTTCTTAAGGTGAGGTTCGGGGCTCGTTTGATGGTTCTGATTCGTCTCGATTCTCTGTTTGGATTTTTTAAAGTCAGGATATTAAAAAACGGTTCAAATGACGGGGTCAACCAAAGTTCTTCTTTTTGGATGAAACTTCTGAACTTCTCCATGAATCCTGAGTGTTTAATCTTGTTGGTCGTTTATCCTCCTTTACAGGATAGAACTGTGTTTCTAATGTTGCTCTGAGAGAAGAGTTCATTCTTCCTGAGAAACTTAAACTTTTGACCAACGAAGAAGAAGCCACCGAACACCAACGAAGAAGAAGCCGCTGAACACCAACGAAGAAGAAGCCACCGAACACCAACAAAGTATATGAGATGAAGCCACAGAGAGAGAGAACATTGCAACTCACAGCCGCTCTCTTCTCTCTCTCTCTGTGGCTTCGTCTCATACGCTTTGGCGGCTTCTTCTTCGTTGGTGTTTGGCGGCTATTTCTTCTGGAACTCCGGCGTTGAACTTGGAATCGAAATTTAAAAATTTGAACAATTCTGGGAGAATCCAAATGTCAGTCCTGATCCTCATCGATTCTCGATACCAACCCTAGTCATAACCACATGCTGCCGGATCGTCAATGACGTCATCAATTCATTGATTAATTAATCAGTGTTTATAGTAGAGCAGTGCGGTAACCATGGCGATGGTTCATCAGGTGGATCTCTGTTCAATCTCAATATTCAGGTCACATGGCCCGTTTATGCTGCAGGGTCACATGATCACAGTTCCAGTTTTCTCTGGATTCTACATGAACGTTCACACATTAACTCACTCATTCACTCGTTCACTCAGGCTCCTGTGGTGACCTTCTGTGACCTTGGTCCACAGGAGTTTCACTGACACTGAGGTGTAGATCAGACGTGTTCAGTTGGCGTCCTCAAACATGGCGGACAGACGCCCGTCACGTGTTGCTCCTCCTCCTCCTGACAGCCTCTCCATGCCTGAAACACTCGATGTCGTTTCCAACAGTCGAGGAGGTCAAACGGGTCGACCACTCTGACCATCTGTTCTCACTGCGAGTAAAAATAGAGCGGCAGAGTCAGGGTCATTCTGAGCGGGTTAACAAACAGGAAGTGAACGATGATTGGAGGGAGTGACATGTGAGCGGTCATGGAGGTCATCAGAAATATATGATCCTAAACCAAACTTTGACGAACAGAAGTCGATCATCAGTCTGTGTTTGTGAAGGTCACGACAGGTTGACGTCAGGTTTTAAAACTGTCTTTATTAACATGTTTGTCGTTTATTCTCTGGTTTTATTATTTTAAAACTGTCTTTATTAACATGTTTGTCGTTTATTCTCTGGTTTCTGTTTTTGTTGCAGATTTATTTATGAAACTGAACATTTTAACGGAGTCGCTGAGCTGCTGGAAATCCTCGGGAGGTCAGTGATAAAATGTTTCTGTGTATGATTGTCTCTCTGAAAGTTCAGCTTCTAATGCTGCTTGTTTGACGTCGTGAACTCTGACCCTGAGTCTGTCATAGAGACAGACGTCTATGAACAGGGTCCTGGTCCTCATGGGGGTTCTAATTGGAGGGTTTTTCATTAGGACCTGGTTCAGGAGCGCCACAGTTCTTCAGGGTTTCTTCACTGGTCTGAGAACTCTGTTTGAACCGTCACGTTGTCGTCATGTAGTCAGGTTGTCGTCACGTTGTCGTCATGTAGTCATGGTGTCGTCATGTAGTCATGGTGTCGTCATGTTTCTGTCATGTTTCTGTCATGTGTCTGTCGTGGAGCAAACAGATCAGACTGACAGGAGAGCGTCAAACTTATGAACCACAAACTGATGAAACATCTACACAACTCCCATCTACACTGCGTTAGTGATCTATGATCTAATGATCAACATAGAGCTCAATGATTATAATAATAAAATCAATATCTACGCTCTGATGGGTCAGGCAGTACCAGGTTAGACCACAGGGGGCAGAAAGGAGAGACTTTAGTTAAACTGGAAATATTCAAAAAACTTAAAGTAGAAAAACAAAATAGGCGACTTTAACAAAGACCCTCTAAACCATGACCCCGCCTCTAAACCATGACCCCGCCTCTAAACCATGACCCCACCTCTAAACCATGACCCCGCCTCTAAAACATGACCCCGCCTCTAAACCATGACCCCGCCTCTAAAACATGACCCCGCCTCTTAACCATGACCCCACCTCTAAACCATGACCCCGCCTCTAAAACAATGACCCCGCCTCTAAACCATGACCCCACCTCTAAACCATGACCCCGCCTCTAAAACAATGACCCCGCCTCTAAACCATGACCCCGCCTCTAAAACAATGACCCCGCCTCTAAACCATGACCCCACCTCTAAACCATGACCCCGCCTCTAAAACAATGACCCCGCCTCTAAACCATGACCCCACCTCTAAACCATGACCCCGCCTCTAAACCATGACCCCACCTCTAAACCATGGCCCCACCTCTAAAACAATGACCCCGCCTCTAAAACAATGACCCCGCCTCTTAACCATGACCCCGCCTCTAAACCATGACCCCACCTCTAAACCATGACCCCGCCTCTAAAACAATGACCCCACCTCTAAAACAATGACCCCGCCTCTTAACCATGACCCCACCTCTAAAACAATGACCCCGCCTCTAAAACAATGACCCCACCTCTAAAACAATGACCCCGCCTCTAACATGACCCCACCTCTAAACCATGACCCCACCTCTAAACCATGACCCCACCTCTAAAACAATGACCCCGCCTCTAAAACAATGACCCCACCTCTAAAACAATGACCCCGCCTCTAAACCATGACCCCACCTCTAAACCATGACCCCACCTCTAAAACAATGACCCCGCCTCTAAAACAATGACCCCACCTCTAAAACAATGACCCCGCCTCTTAACCATGACCCCACCTCTTAAACAATGACCCCACCTCTAAAACAATGACCCCGCCTCTAACATGACCCCGCCTCTAAAACAATGACCCCGCCTCTAACAGGACCCCGCCTCTAAACCATGACCCCACCTCTAAAACAATGACCCCGCCTCTAAAACAATGACCCCGCCTCTAACATGACCCCGCCTCTAAACCATGACCCTGCCTCTAACATGACCCCGCCTCTAACATGACCCCGCCTCTAAACCACGTCCCACAGCTGTAAGTTCACGTTAACCAGAGATCAAATGACACAGATCTGAAATACAGTAAACATGAGATAGAGGTCATATAAACGTAGATGTAGACAATAATAGATTCATATTCTGCTGAATTCACATTTTTTTAAAGA